GTCTGTTTGTCTGTCCATCTGTCCTGAAAGGGAATTGATCTTCTAGGTGGGCTGAAAACTCTGCTGAAAAAACTTGTATCATCTATGCCCCTCTCCCAGTGAGTCTTAAAAGAAGAGCGCCTCAAGTGAGCTCTGCACACTGTGTCTCCATGCGGGCTGTCCCAGGGCTCTGCGCTGTGGAGACGAGCACTCACGCAGGTTTGAGGTCCAGATGCAAGAGGAAGGAAAGTGAGCGCCTGTGAGCCCTGCTGGTGCAAGGAGGAAGTGGGCGTCAGGTGCCACCACTCCCGGGCTGGTCTGCCTTCTGAGGCTGACCTTGAGGACCCTGCTCGCTGAGAGCACTGGCATATGTGCCGTGCACAGTTCTGCCAGGCCAGTTTATTGGGGCAGGATGATGGGGACCTTTGTGCAGGACAAGCTGGTGGGGTGAAGTGTGACTCCTTCCCAGTGCAGCCTAAGGACAGGGCTGGCTCTAAGAAGCCGAGTGTTTTTTTTTTCCCCCCTTTCTCTTTTTTTTTTTCCCCTTGGTGGAACCAGGGATTGAGCTCAGGCCCTTGCACTTGCCAGGGAAGTGCTTATTCTACTGAGCCATCTCTCTGGCCCCTCCCTTCTCCTTTTTTTTTTTTTGCATGATTTTTACACTGAAGAATCGTGACACTGAAGGCTCAGCCCTATGCTTCTGAGACTGGATGGAAAGGGCCAAGCAGGCACCTGGAGCCGAGCTCTGCCTGCCCCAGCCTGCCAGCCCTAACTAAGCCCTGGACGGTGTCTTATTTCCTGCAGTGGAGAAATGGCTCTGCGAAAGCTGCTCCGATGGGGGCTCGGGCTCCTGAGAAAGGCAGCGGTGCCCGGGCACCGTGTGTCCTGCTGGCAGCAGACAAGCCAGGCTCTCACAACCACCCAGAGGTTGGCTCTGCATGCCTCTGCCTTCCCCTTAGGGAGGAGGAGGATGCAGAGTGCCTCAGGCTGGCGTGGTTGGGACCACTCACTCTCCTTGGGGTCCCAAAAGGGTAGCTTTGGGGGAGGACCTTGGAGATAGGCAGGAAGCTGTGTCCATCCTTGGGAAGGACATGGTGACATGGCTTGATGTAAGGGGCTCTTAGGACACATGATCTTTACCCCTCCTTTGGTATTGGGAATTGAACTTAGGACCTTGTGCTTGCCAGGCAGGCACTGGGCCAGTGAGCTATATCCTGGCCCTGTGTGGTTTATTTTATATTTTTATTTATTGTTTGAGACAGCATGTCACTATGTAGCTCACTGTGTAGCCCAGGTTGGCCTCAGATTCACTGCGATCCTCCTTCCTCAGCCTCCTGAATGCTGGGATTACAGGTGTGCGCTACCATGCCTAGCTAACACATGAGATCTTTTGGAAATCTGCGGGGGGCTTGCTGGCAAGCTTGCTCTTTGTTTGGCTGCTGGTGTGCATATCCCCTGAAATTAAAAAGAAATTTTAAGGGGCAGGGGGGATGGCTCAGTGGAATAAGCACTTGCCTGGCAAGTGCAAGGGCCTGAGTTCAATCCCCAGTTCCACCAAAAAGAAAAATTAATTTCCATTGGCTGCTTTTCTACTTGATAGCAAAAAAGTAGAGCCTGTAGACCTGAGGTTTGGTTCAAGCTGATAAAGAAAGACTAGGATTTGCGGCCCATATTATTGAACGTACTAGTGGCATCTCCAGGACAGCCTGCTCACAAAGGTTTACTGTGAAGCTTCAGAGCTGTCCAACAGGAAGTGTGCCGGGTTTGGCTGCGTAACTAATAAAATTGTCCTATGAATTATACTGCTGGTGTGTGTGCGCTCGGGCACATGTCCCTGAAGCTGGCCTGAAACGCAAGCCTTTGTGACCTAGGGCCGAGGACACTCGTCTTGCCTCCCACATGTAAACCCTGTTCATGAAAGGCAGAAGAGCTGGGTGCGGTTACATCCACCTGCGATCCCAGCACCCGGGAGGCAGAGGCAGGACTGGCCAGAGTCGAGGCGAGTCTGGGCTATGCAATGAGTTGCCTGTCTCAAAAGAAACCAACAAAAACAAAAAAGGAAAGAGCTTAACATTTCCTTTAGTGTTGTCTAACAGTTTTACAGGATATTTGTAAATACATTTCCTGAAAATTTCTTTTAGCCTCTTTCCCTTGTTTGAGTCAGGGTCTCACTGTCAGTTACTAGTTCAGACCGGCCTTGAACCCACTGTGATCTGGCTACCCCCTGCCTCCCAAGTGCTGGCATTACAGATAGGGGCCCCCATGCCCAACTGCTTGTCATTTTTCTTATTTTATATTAGTGATTTTAATTTATTTATTTTGTGTGTGTGGCCAGCTCAGCCCACCAGGGGGCGGGGCTGGCTGGCATGTGGTGCTGGGGATTAGAACCGCGGTCACTGTGCTTTTGCCTAGCTTAGCCTGTTCCAAGTAGGTGCCCCAGACCACTGAGCCATCTCACCAGCCCTATATTAGTGATTTTATTCATAAAGAGAAAAGTTTTGCTGTAGCTCTGCCATCCACACAACAGGCATTGCAATTTTGGAACATGTCCTTGTGGACCTTTTGGGTACATCTAGTTTGGGGTCCTGTCCCCCACGGGCAAGGCACAAGCTCTATTTTTTTCTTTTCTTTTCTTTTTTTTTTTGCGGAACTGGGGATTGAACTTAGGCCTTTGCGCTTGCCAGGGAAGCGCTTATTCCACTGAGCCATCTCCCCTGGCCCCAGGGCACAAGCTCTTGCATAGCATAAATAGTAAGATGTGAGAAAATCACAGGTTTCAACAGACTTCAGGGAGACAATTACAGGGTTCCAGGAACCCAGCAAGAGCTCACTTTCTCCTGCAAATCTTAGCAGTGTCTTAGCAGTATTTTCCTTTTGTGTTTTTCTTGGGAACTCAGCTGTACCTCCTCAGGCAGCGTGCACCGGGATACCTGGTTACTGAGGTAATGTTTCTGTCACCCCAGCAGCATTAGTTATGCTCAGCTCTTTACCTTAATCCTTGTTCAGCTCTCCAGGGCAGACCCTACTCAGCTCTGAGCGGTCTTTCCAAGTGGGGCCAAGCAGCCGCCCTGAGCCAAAAAAAGAGCATTATGTCACCGGAAGCCTGGGCCCAGACCAGCACAGGTACGATCTGACCAGCAGTGGCCTTGCTGGTGTCTCTGGAGACCGAGGGGCTCTGGGCTGGAAGGGCCTGAGGATGGTTGGTTCATTGACCCATTTTGGCTGTTCATGGTAGTCCTTGGGCTGGTGACACTGTCCCCCGAGGGCACAGCAAGCGCTATGTTCTGATGGCTTGATGTGCCATCTCCACAATGTCCCTGTCACAGCCAGGCTCCCCTAAACCTGGCTAGGGGCCCTCGTATCCTTACCTGGATGTATAGGTGTAGGGTCACTGGCCACAGAAGTCTTTAGAGTTGAGTAAGACGGAGTGGCAATGTGACTGTGACAGCATTAAAGTGGACAGAAAGGTCATTGAAAATACAGAACCAGTTGGGGCCGGGAGGCGGTGGCCTTTTCATTTCAGTACCTCCTGAGATAAGCAGTGTCGACTGTGAGGCAAGACTTGCTGGAAGTTGGGGACACGAGAGCACCAGTCAACAGAATGGTCACAAGGCTCCTTTGGGTCAGGCCCCGCTGGATGGGTTTCGATGCCACCCAGAGGAGCCACAAGTCTGGGGGGTGATCTACACTGACCTCCTGCTGCGGAGCCCTGAGATTGGGTGGGGGCAGGGCCAAGGAGGGGCTGGTTTCTGAGCCCAAGCTGAAGGCTTTCAGAAGGAGCCGCTCTTGGTCTGAGGACGGTGGTGAGCAGCCTCCGCTCCCTGGCCTCCCCCACGTGCTTGTCCTCTGCTCAGCTAACTAACTCACTAGCTCAGTGAGTTTAGCTGTGGGTCAGTGATGAAGTAAAGCAAAGGGCAGAGCAGGCCTGGGGTTGTGACCCAGGCTGCTTAATTACCTGAAACAGATGGTCCCACTGCTGAGAGAAGCATTTCTCAAGAGGGAAGTCCTGGGCCCTGGGGATTCCCTGGGCCAGGCGTGAGAGAGGATCTCTCCTGAGTGGCCCTGGTTGTCTCAAACTTGTGATCTTCTTGCTTTAGACTAGAGTGCTGGGATTGCAGGTGTGTACCACCGTGCCCAGCTAGACATGAGGGTTTTTTTTTTTTTTTTTTTTTTCCCTACAGGCTGCTGGGATGAGGGATTTTATATTCAGGGGTCCAGGTGGACTTTACTTCCCATGCAGGGACTACTTTTGGTAGTAGTAGGCTTGTACTTCTTTATTGTCACTCCTACTAGGAGTGCAGAGTAAAGCACTGCTCTGGGGAATTGGGACTAAGAAGACCAGGGGAATGGCTTTGGCTTTGGGTGTTGTGGGGTCCTGGCACTGGTGCAGATAGATCAGTGCCTTCCAGGCAGAGAACTGCTAGCCTTCCGCAGGCACTGTGAGCTAGGGGTAAGTTTGTGATCGCTGGAGGTGGTTGTGACTTCCTTTGGTGGACATCTCTTTGGTGTGAGTAAAATGGTGTGATTCTTAAGGGTTGTCATCCATCAATGTCCTTCCTGTCCACCCAGAGTCACAAGAGCCTTTTGCCCAATTTGGGGCAAACCCACCTCCCCAGAGCGTGGCTGAGGTGCAGAGTGTGTTTCTTGGGTTAATGTATAAACAGGAGTCCGCGTCCTGTGCCAGGTGCCAAACTCAGTACCTCGACCTGATGGCTCTTTTTGGTTTCCTGGAGCAGCACCTCACAAGCCATGTCGAAGTCCCACAGCGAAGCCGGGACGGCTTTCATCCAGACCCAGCAGCTGCACGCAGCCATGGCTGACACCTTCCTGGAGCACATGTGCCGCCTGGACATCGACTCAGCCCCCATCACGGCCCGCAACACCGGCATCATCTGTACTATTGGTGCGTGGCACCCCGCCCTGGGCGGGCTGAGCTGGGCAGGGACCGGTTCTCTCCTGAAAAGACTAAGTGTTGCTGAGTCGAACCAGACAGAGACGCTAAGTTTCAGAGGAGCTGGCCAAGTCTCACCGAGGCTCTTCTGAAACGTAGGAGCCTGCAGGATTTTAGGAAAGTAGGAGTGTGTCCCCCAAGATCTAGACAGGAGACTAGCGTATTTGTATTCCTTTCTGTACTTTTGAAAGCATTTTGGGCTTTGGAGAGGAGCTGGTTACAGAAAATGTAAAAGATGAAGAATTCTAAGGATGTGTGACTGCGTTCTACTTAAACAGCAGTTTTCCTAATGAAGCTGTAAAATCCTTTTCTCCTAGGCCCGGCCTCCCGCTCGGTGGAGACCCTGAAGGAGATGATTAAGTCTGGGATGAATGTGGCCCGGCTGAACTTCTCTCACGGAACTCATGAGGTGAGCCTGGGCTGGGCCGTGCTAGATGGTTGGGCCACTGGGGTAGGGGAGAGGGAGGTGGGTGTTGGCTCACCCCCTGTGCACCAGGTGGATACAGTCTGTTCATGGTGGGCAGGAAGCTGGCTTTACCAGCCCGTCCTGCTCCTTCCCTTCAGCCTCCTGTGCTGGCCAAGCAGCCACAGGCAGCCAAGGCTGGCTTGTTACTGATGTGTCCCAGGCATCGGGGCTGGCCTTTGGCCTCCCTTCCCCTGGGAATCCCCAAAGCCCATGGTGGTGAACCTACAGCATGGCTGCCATAGCCTGCTGCTCCTGATCCTTGAAAGTTTTGGAAGGTTCAGCATCACTGCCCTAAGCCATGAGGAGTCTCAGCAACTGTCCCCAATACCCATGCCCCAGGGTTTCTGCAAACAGCTGGCCTTGCCACCAAGAACCAGAAGGGCACCCAGTGGGTTGATCCTGGCCTTGCTCAGATAGATGAGGCAGGTATAGGAAGACGGGTACAGCCAAGGATCGGCTGTGACATACAGTACTAGCGCTGTTGATGTGTTCTGTGTGCTCCCTGTGCTTCTGCTATGTCCGAAAGACCACATAGGAGCAAGAGATGGAGAGGGGAAGGGAATGTAAAAGAGTTAGGTGGGCTTTGCACATACCGACTCCCCGAGATGGATACACTCGTGACGGACTGCACATGTATACTAATTAAAATTAAGCACTGGGCATGGTGGTGCACACCTCTAATCCCAGCAGCTTGGGAGGCTGAGGCAGGGACATGCTTGTGAATTCAAGACCAGCTGGGGCTACGGTGAGCTCAGGGCCAGCCTGAGCTGCATAGCCAAATAAGATAGCCAGCCAGCATGCTTCCTCAGGAGCCTGCTAACGAGGTGTTTGAGCTGGACTTTTTATTAGCCATCTTGACCCAAGGGCCTCATCCAGGGACCCATGGCAGCTGTCAGGAAGGCTTCTGGCCTGCCCTCTGCTTCCAAGTTGTCAGCAAACCCTTTCTGAGCAGTGGGGATAGGACCCTTTAGGGAAGGACCTTTAGGCTGTGTTGCGAATCTCCCACAGACAATGAGAACTCATGCCAGCAGTGATGGGAGAGGAAGCTTTCCCCTGTCTTGACTTTTCTTCTTCAGAGAGAAGAAAATGCTACCCTGTAAAGTCAAGTGGGACACGGTTGCCCTTTGGCCTTTGGAAGTTGGTATTAAGTTTGAACTAAAAATAAATCCTTAGGAATAGCAATCCAAGAAGTGAATTCCGCCTTTCTGGGAACCTGAGACTCTAGATCATAGATTCCATAAACAGCCTATGGCCTGGAAGGAAGCTGGTCCCCAAATGTCACGGGGACCCGCCCCAGCGGGTACATAGGCAGGTTCCGATGCAACCTGGCCTAGCATTCTGTTACGTTCCCAAAGCACAAAGAGCGGGCTTTGAGTTCAATCCCCAGTACCCCTCCCCCCCCAGAAAAAAAGCAGGCTTCAGCAGGCGTTACTCCCAGTTGTCTTAATTCAGAGAGTTAGCAGCAGACTGCAGTTAAAGCTGGCTGACTGTTGATTCCTGCTGCTTGAGTCTGTAGTGTGCTGGGGATGGAGCAGAAATAGATGCTGGGAAGCTGACCTTTGAGGCATCCCCCATCCCGGGAAATAACACCGTGCTGCTCTGAGGTGGCCAACACCAGTGAATGTGTGTCCCTTGCCGTACAGGGCCTGGCTCAGAGTTCGGGATTTTGTTTGGTTTTTTTGTGGCAGGCTCTCAAATGTAGCTCAGGCTGGCCTTCAACTGCAGCCTCCTGCTGCTGCCCCCCAAATGAAGGGATCACGGGCATGTGCCATCATGCCCAGCCTGGAGGTTATGGTTTTTTAATCTACAAGAGGCATTTAGAGATTATCTGCGCTTGAACTTCTAAGTCCCTCTTGGGTTTATTTTTAACTATCAGACCATGATGAGATTGTTCTTTTTTTTTTTTTTTTTTTTTTTTTTTTTTAAATTATTTATTTATTTTTTTATTTATTACGTGTGTGTGTGTGGCCAGCTCAGCCCACCGGGGGCGGGGCTGGCTGGCATGTGGTGCTGGGGGATCGAACTGCAGTCCCTGTGCTTTGCCAAGCTTGATTCAAGTAGGTGCTTTAGACCACTGAGCCATCTCTCCAGCCCGAGATTGTTCTTGAGAACAGGATTTTAGGAGCTGATTTGAAATGTATGGCAAAGTAGTTTATGTTTGACTGCATTGTAGGGCTTGTACTCCTGCACCTTCCACTAGGCGCTGGGACATTCATTCTTGACTTGGTTGTTTGAGACAAAGCTATTTTACAGTTCAAGGGTAATCTTGAACTTAACCATGTGCATCAAGCTGGCTTCAAACTTGGAATCCTCCTGCCTCAGCCTCTCAAGTGCTGGGATTTAAAGGTGTGCACCACCTTGCCTGGTTCAGTTCTCGCCCTCTCAAGTACTTTTCTGAGAATATTAAAGTTGCTTTTTCCACTGTAATGGAATCTATCACCTTTGTCTGGCTTGATCTTTTTTTTAAAAAATTTTTTATTTATTTTGTGTGTGTGTGTGTGTGTGTGTGGCCAGCTCAGCCCACCAGGGGGCGGGGCTGGCTGGCATGTGGTGCTGGGGGATTGAACCGCGGTCCCTGTGCTTTGCTAAGCTTGTTCTAAGTAGATGCTTTAGACCACTGAGCCATCTCACCAGCCCCTGGCTTGATCTTTTAACAGCTTTGGTGGCTCTTGGGGCCCCATCTTTGGCAGTCACAGAAGCAATTTGTATTCTTGCTGAACATGCGGTTCCATGATGCCTGGGTTGGCCAGAAAATAATGACTTTTAAACAGCCTAAATTTAGAGCCTTCTATACAGACAGGACTGGTGGTGGCACTCTTGGCCTTCAGAGAACATGACAGCAAAACCACAGCTGGAGCCAGGAGGGGCGGCAAAACCCCTGTACCTTGGTGTTGAGGCCCCAGATTCAATTTTCTGTCCCTGCTCCTCCTAAAGATGATCTAGCCCTTACCCAGACACTTAAGGCCAAATGATTTTAGGGAGATCTAATCCAGGGGGTCCCATTTGCTGCAGGTGCTGTCCCACTGAACTCTTTCCCCCAGCTGTCTGTCCAGCAAGCACAGTTAGGTCAGATCCAGCTGGGCTGCTGCAGAGCGTCCAGCGGGCTGGAGATGTCTGTACTAAGCAGACAGAGTACATGAGCCAGACTAACCAGGGTGCCCGAGAGGCCGCAGGACTCGTCCTGGGAAGGTGCGGGAAGCCTCAGTAAAAGCTCATCCTAAGGAAATTGTGTTCTGGGACACAGGCAGGGTTCCAAGTTGTAATGACACAGAGTGGTCATTGAAGTGTATGATGACAATGGGGCCATTTATTAAATAATGACTACGTGCTTGGCGTTATTCTGAATATGTACTCGTTTAGTTCTGACAGTAAGACATTCGACAGTATTCATTATTCATTAAAAAAAAAAAAACAGAATCCAGGGGGCCTGCCCCTTAGCTCATAAGTGGCTGCTTCAACAAAGCAGTCAGGCTCAGGTTGCTGTGGTTCGATCCCCACAACTCAAGCCAGCCAAACCTGCCCTGAAGGCATGGGGAGCAAAAAAAAAAAAATCTTTCTGGGGCTGGGGAGTTAGCTCAGTAGAAAAAGTGTTTGCCTGGCAAGCGCAAGGGCATGAGTTCAATCCCCGGTTCTGCAAAAAAAAAAAAAAAAAAAAAAGAAAAGAAATCCAGGAATAGTGGGGCACACCTGTAAACCCAACAGGCAGAAGGAGGCTGGGGCAGAAAGCTCAAGGCCTCCCTGGGCTACGTAGCAAGACCTTGTATCAAAAAACTTTACAGAAGGATTTTTAAAAGTTTATTTTCTGCCTTACAGTCTATCTTGCACCACTGTTGGCTTGCTTCCAATTTTTAAAAACTTGGACTCGAAGGACCTCTATGAAACCATGCCAGCCAGTGGTCCCTTATGCCAAAGTCCTTGAGAAAAGCTGAGCATTTGTGACCCAACCTGAGGGCAAGCACCGTGCCAACCTCCTTCCAGTAGTAGACAGGCTGGCGTGTGGGTGCCGAGCTCATGGGCACGGGCTGGGTACAGATAAGGGCCATAAAGTGCTGAATGAGGTGGCCTGTGTCAGCAGGGTCACGTGAGTGCACTATCTGAGTGCTCTAATGGCTTATCTGGGGACTGACCCCCCCCTTTTAATCAAACAGTAGTGGCAGATGGAAGGAGAAAGGCTTCAGAGAGGGCGGTCACGGCCGGGTTTGCCAGGGCGTGTGACAAGGGGCATTGCCTGCAGAAACAGGCACCTGGCTGCCTTTCCCCAGTCTATTCCTACTCATATTGGACTCCAGAAAACGCTCATAGAACCTGCCTGCAGTGACCTTCGAAATGAGTTATTTGGCTTGGGCCATGATTGCTTGTGTCAATAACTCGGGAGTTTGGATCGATAAGAGAAGCACAGAATTGGACATGGATTGAAACGCTCTGACACATTGGGATGGATGGGCAGTGCTCCGGTTGGACCGCGGTGGCAGAGGCTGGGCCTTTGCTAAGGGATCTGCTCAGGGAATAGAATACTCGGCCCACCTGGGCACAGGGGACACTTGTGATCTTTCTTGTCTTCCCTTCAGTACCATGCCGAGACCATCAAGAATGTGCGTACAGCCACCGAGAGCTTCGCTTCTGACCCCATTCTCTACCGGCCAGTGGCTGTGGCCCTGGACACCAAGGGCCCTGAGATCCGAACCGGGCTCATCAAGGGCGTGAGTGTCATGGGGAGGTCACAGCCCCTGAGGGATGCCTAATCGCCTGGGTTTTTTGTGTTCATCGCTCTGAATAGGAAATTAGATCTATTTTGCTAGGGAATAGTACCCTTGTAGCTCTAAGAACCCTAAGCTGAATAGCACATGAGTTCTCTGGTAAGAAAAAAACCCTACAGCATAAATATATTTAAAAAAATAATAATAGGAGGGGGGAGTTTAGGGGCAAATAGAAAAATGAAGATGCATAAAGGGGTTTCTTTGCAGGCTGGAAACATGGATTGATAGAAGGGAAAATTGTAAGAAGGACTACAACCTACCAGCTTAATTAAGAAAATGGAATTATCCTAGCACGTGTAGATAAAATTCTGTCCTTTGGGGAAGATTTGTTTGCATCCTTTTCTCTCTTGGCGAAGTAGCAAATCTGAAACACTAGCTTTTTCTTTCCCCCTGGGTGCTTTCCTTGAACCTAGGTGAGGGAAAGAGGGCAACGCTTTCTGGTTCTGTTGGGCTGAGGTGGGAGCCCAGGTCCTGGGAGAAGGCCCCCCGGGTGGCGCCGCCTTCTGCGGTCTGGACCTGTCCCCTCTGTCCACAGAGTGGTACTGCTGAGGTGGAGCTCAAGAAGGGAGCCCCGCTCAAGATTACGCTGGACAATGCCTACATGGAGAAATGCGACGAGAACGTGCTGTGGCTGGACTACAAGAACATCTGCAAGGTGGTGGATGTGGGCAGCAAGATCTACGTGGACGATGGCCTCATTTCTCTGCTAGTGAAGGAGAAAGGTTTGTGTGGGGTCCTTCGGGAGTGAATGGCGGGTTAAAAGTTAAAATGGTGGCGTATGCCTGTGGTCCCAGCACCTGAAAAGCTGATGCAGGGGGATCCCTGCAAGATTGAGGGCAGCCTAGAGTACATAGTGATAGCTTAACAATAAAACAAGATGGGGCTGGTGAGATGGCTCAGTGGTCTAAAGCACCTACTTAGAACAAGCTTAGCAAAGCACAGGGACCGCAGTTCAATCCCCCAGTACCACATGCCAGCCAGTCCCGCCCCCTGGTGGGCTGAGCTGGCCACACACACACACACACACACACACACACACACACAAATAAAAATTAAAAACAATAAATACTAAGTATGTGTATCTACTCTTTTTTTATTTTTTTTTTGTGGAACTGAGGATTGAATTCAGATCCTTGCACTTGCCAGGCAAGTGCTTATTCTACTGAGCCATCTTCCTGGCCCCTAAGATGGATATTAACACGATATAACAAACACATTCTATGCTAACATAAAGTTCCTTGGCATACAGGAGACAAGGTGGGTTGCAGGGTTGTATCTTGCTAAATAAGCCCGGGTTGGGCACAGACTTGAAATACACAGCTGTCCTAAATGTCCTGCATAATGTGTTTGGGGTAAGAGCGATTTTCAGGTGAGGAGACCGAGGTGGGTTAGACCCGTGCCCCTGTGGCTGCGGGTGCTGTGTCCTGCTTTGCTGGTCCAGGATGGGCCCTGCCCCTCCATCCCTCTGTCGAGCTGTACGTTCAGTGCTCTGCCTCCCATGTCTCACAGGTCCTGACTTCCTGGTGACGGAGGTGGAAAATGGTGGCTCCCTGGGCAGCAAGAAGGGTGTGAACCTTCCCGGTGCTGCAGTGGATCTGCCCGCTGTGTCCGAGAAGGACATCCAGGACCTGAAGTTTGGGGTAGAGCAGGACGTGGACATGGTGTTCGCGTCCTTCATTCGCAAGGCTGCTGACGTCCACGCGGTGAGGCAGGTCCTGGGGGAGAAGGGCAAGAACATCAAGATCATCAGCAAGATCGAGAACCACGAAGGCGTGCGGAGGTGAGGCCCTGGCACGTGGCCCCAGCATGGCTCCGGAAGGGCAGGGTGGAGTGTGGGAAGGCCTAGTCCTCAAACCTGGGCCCCCGGAGTCAACACAGCCTGCACTGGACAAGGCAGTGCACACCTAAGAGTCGCAGCACTTGGGAGGCTGAGGCAGGAACGCTGTGAGTTGGAGGCCAGTCTGGAACTATACACAGTGAGACCTTTTTGAATTAAAAAGGAAAGAGTAGTCCCAGAGGTCTAGTCCAGACACTCCTAGGAGAGCATGGGTGGGGCATTATTTTAATGATAAAATCCTTGATTGAGAAGCTTGACCATTTGCTGTGGGCCTGGGGACAAACAGCAAAGAGGCCAGCACCAGGGCCATCCTGCTTCCTGCCAGCAGGGACTGGAGCAGGACACCCTGGGGGAAAGGAAGATGTGGGTTCTTCTTGGAGGGGCCCTTCTTGCCCTGTTCTTGGGAGCAGGGTGGCCACGGTCTGTGTCCAGGCTGAAGCTTGGGCCTCCTGATCTGGCCTAGTAACGGAGGCCCACCCTGGTATGGCCCATTTGGCTTCCTGTAGGAAGGAAGGCAGGAGGTTCTCCTGGTTTGATTCTAGCACAGCCAGCCTGGCGAGTGTTCTCTTGGCTCAGTATTAGAAACCCCGTGCAGAGTTTTAAAAGATACTGTGGCTTGATGCTCTAGCCATGTTGATGTTTGTAGGAGCGTGACTTCTAGTAGCTAAATCCTGGAAAGGGACTTGTGTGTCCAACAGATGAATGGATGCAGAAAATTGGTATTGCACACAGTGGAGTACTGTGCCACGAAGGGGGGTCAACTTGGCTCATTTGTAGGAAAAGGGATGCACTTCAAGACCGTCCTGTGCATTGGATACACGGCTTAAATATCATAAGACTTCTTTATCACATGAGAGAACCATTGTGTAAAGAGCAGAATAAAAGATAATAAAAGTTAGGACAGCGGATCTTTTCTCAGGAGGGAACAGGCCCAAAGATGGAGAAACAGGATGGAGAGATGAAGGGAGAGGGGATAGAAAAGGAATAAAGAGGTGTTGTGTGCATTCACTCAATTCCAAAGTTCACTGACCTGTAATTCCAGGATTGGGAGGATGAGGCAGGAGGATCACTGTGAGTCATGAGTTCAAGCCCGTCTTACACAGCAAGCCCCTGTCTCAAGTACAGCAAAAGAAAACCCTCAGCCCCGCCTGTATGGTTAGGCTGTGGCTTGGGGAGGGTGCAAGGAGGCCAGGCAGCATTGCACTGGCTTCACTGTCCTCCGCTGAGGACAGTGTCCCCTCTGCCATCTTCGTGAACTGTGGAGTCCCTGGCAGGACCATGCCCCGTTGCTGTCCTTGGGCCAGGTGGGCAGAGCTGGCTCTGGGCCAGTCCTCGAATGGGCCTCGGGTGTGAAATGTTCCCTGAAAGTGCTGATGGCAATAGAGACAGTCAGACCTGGGGTGGGGGTTCCTGAGATGTCGCCGGAGTGGACAGCTTGCAGGCGTTGGAGTCCTGTCCCCTCCACTGGAGGTCTGAATGCCCTGCTACCTCATATCCATCAGGGTCGGGGTCCGCGAGAGCTTCCTGTGTGACCCTGTCCTCATAAATAACTTTGCTTCTCTGTTCCTGCCTTCCACGATAGGTTCGATGAGATCCTGGAGGCCAGCGATGGCATCATGGTGGCCCGTGGTGACCTCGGCATCGAGATTCCTGCAGAGAAAGTCTTCCTGGCCCAGAAGATGATGATTGGGCGTTGCAACCGCGCGGGGAAGCCCGTCATCTGCGCCACACAGGCATGTGTCCCCTGGGGCCCTAGCCACATATGTCCTCTGCTGTGTATCCCCACAGCGTCATGGGGGGCCACACCCTTCTCACCTCACCTGTCTTGTTCCCTTGCAGATGCTGGAGAGCATGATCAAGAAGCCGCGGCCCACGCGGGCTGAGGGCAGCGACGTGGCCAACGCTGTACTGGACGGGGCAGACTGCATCATGCTGTCCAGGGAGACGGCCAAGGGCGACTACCCGCTGGAGGCCGTGCGCATGCAGCACCTGGTGAGGACGGGCCCTGGGCGAGCGGGCTCGGGCTCCCTCTGCCCTGGTTTGCTGTCCTGAGTGTCAGCAACAGTGAGGTGGTGGGGCCTGTGGTGCCTGTTGGTTTGTTCCTGTTTTGCCTTCCTTGCCTCACCCTCACCCCCACCTCTCCTGCTCCTTTATCTGATGTTGCATGGTTCATTGCCGGCTTCAAGGCTGGGAGTACCTCCGTGGCCCAGTCCTGCGCTGTGTGTGCGGTCACAGGACGCCTTGTGCCTCTTCCCTTGGGCAGTCCACAGGGCCTGGGTGTCCTGTCCTGATTGAATGAGGCCCTGGGCTGCTGCTCCCCAATTGTCTCCCTGTGCTGCAGACAGGCCCAGGTCCCTGCTGGCCCTGCATGGACCTCCCTCCTGGGGCTGAGTGGCTGGCCCAGGGCCATGGCCACAGCTGGGTAGAGCCCGGGGGAAAGAGTTCTTCACGACCCCTGCTGAGTCAGCTGTGTCCCCGTGCTTGCCACTCTTGGTTGAGGCCCCATTTCTCTGCCCTTTGTTCTGTCCCAGAGCTTTCTGAAGAGTTAACTCAAGAGTCAGTTTCAGGGGCCGGGGAGATGGCTCAGTGGAATAAGCGCTTCCCTGGCAAGCGCAAGGGCCTGAGTTCAATCCCGGGTTCCAAAAAAGAAAAAAAAAAAAAAAAAAAAGTCAGTTTCAGGCCTGCCCTGTCTGCTAAAGGAATGGGTGCTGCGAGGCCCTCCCTCCTGGTGGCTCCCTTTAGCACCCAGCCTGGTGTACTTGCCCTGGTCTCCCCATGGCTTTTCTTTCCACATCCCTTCTGGCTGGCTGCCGCCTCTTGTCCTCTGAATCCAATTCCCCTAGGCTCTCGTTTAAAACAGGCCACTACCCTTTTAACAAAACCAGCTTTGGAGTAGCAAGGCATCTTCCTTACCTTCTTCACCATGTCTCCCGTGGGCTGAAGCAGGTTCCAGTGCAGAGACGTGTCCAACATGTGTCTGTCCAGCTGTATCCCCAGGGCTATTTGTCATCAGAGGCTGCTAGGTTTTCTCAGACTGGAATTGGCAGAGACCCCTTCCTTCCCTGGGGACATTTGTATTGCTGAGCCTGGCTGACATTATCCCAGGACAGAGCCATGCACGCTGTCCTGGCCTTCTGAGCTGGCCCGTGGCAGGAAGGCACCTGGACAGTTGTCACCTCACTCAGCCAGTCATCTGCCTTCTAGTCTCCAGGATTCCCTCTCTTTGGGTTGGGGAGATAACTCAGTGTCACAAGCACCTGCCTGGCAAGTTTGATTCCCGGTACCAGAAGGAAAAGGATTCCCTGTCTGGTTGCTTGGCTCAGTTGTGGGACCTTCTGTCCCCAGATTGTGTGGGGGGTTGGGGGTGGGAGGATGTTCACCTTGACCTGATCTGTTGAACCATGAGCCACAGACTTGTGTGTGTCCTCGGGAAGCCATTTATGTCATCCAGAGCAAGGCGTGGTCCTAAGGTGGAATAGATGAGGTGTGTCTAGTGCGAACCTTAGCAAATACTGTGATAGATTGGAACCTCTGTCCCTGTGCATCCTGTTACGATCCTTGTAACGGTCACCACCTCAGTTTTATTAGAGTTCCTGATGGGAGGCTTGGAGTGAGCCCAGGCTGCCGAGTCTCCACCGGGGGTCTGGCACGAGAGCAGAGCGGCAGCTCTCGAGTCTCAGTTCCACGTCCTCTCTTCCCTGGCTCTGAACAGACACCTTAGAAGCACAAGGCTCGGATTGCATGGTACTGCACGCAAGATAAATCACAGGTCTGGCTGGGCCATAGCTGCCCCGAGATAGTCAGGCCTGCCCTGCCCTTTCTGCCATTGGTTAACACTGGCCGACAGCTTTTCTGTCCCCGTAACTCTGGGCTGCTCTCCTGTGTCTAACCCTCACCAAGAGCTGGCAGTACCAGCTGTGGTTCCATGCCCTACTCTGTTCCGTCCCCCAGCTGTGCTTGCATTCTGGTCTACAGCATGAAAGTTGTAACCAGAAGTCCTGCCTCACCCCTGCTTGTGACCAGTGACTGACTGCCTTTACTGAGACACAGGCCCCCTTGCTCTACTCCTGAGACTCCGTGTGGCTAATTCTAGGTCAAATCTGACATAGTTACCTGTGTGAATAACTTGCTGTCTTGTGCCTCTTTAATTGTGATCACAATCAATGCCTTGCTAAACATGGCTGCCGAGGGCCCCTCCAGGCTTTGTATGACCCCAGCTTTCCAGGCCATGACTGGGGGGTGGAGAGGCCTTGGCTCCCCCTACCTGCAGCCGTGCAGCACCTGGACAGCCATGTGGCGGGGCAGGGCCTGCTCCATCCCTCCAGCTGTGTCACAGGCAGTGTGGTCAAGTCCTCTACCAGGGCATGACGTGGGCCTGTCCTGGCATGCCGAGATACTGTCTTCCACCCTCTGATCCAATCAGAAAAAAAAAGTTTTTTCAGTCATCCCAGCTACTTGGGAGGCAGAGGCAGGAGGATTACAAGTTTCAGAACAGCCTGGACAACTGACAAGACAGTGTCTGTCTCAAAAACAAAATAAAACTTAGAATGGAAGACTCAAATTCTCTCAAATTGCAGAGATAACACTAGCTGAAGCATGAGACTGCCCACGCTTCCCAGAGCAGATAAACTTCGCCACTCTGCCTGTGTCTGCCTGAAGAACAGATTTAACCTGATACCTTCCTCTCTGATTAATTCCCCATTCTGTCTTTCCATGTCTTGTCTGTTTCCTCTTCCTCCTCCCCGCTTCCTCGCCCCCATCCCCCTTCCCTAACCTTACAGATAGCTCGGGAGGCTGAGGCAGCCATGTTCCACCGCAAGCTGTTTGAAGAACTTGTACGAGCCTCCGGCCACTCCCGGGACCCCATGGAGGCCATGGCCATGGGCAGCGTGCAGGCATCTTATAAGTGTTTAGCGGCAGCTTTGATAGTGCTCACGGAGTCCGGCAGGTAGGGCCCTGAGGGCAGGTGTCGGCTGTAGGAGGCTGTAGGAGGACCGGCTTCTTGCGCCAGCTGCTGCCAGGGAGCTCACGGCAGGGTGGACCCAAGGTCCTGTGGCTCAGTAGGCTCAGTGGATGTCACAGGCGCCTGGCAAAGGACTGGTCCCGTGGTGCTGCAGTATTGCTGTGCAGGGACATGTTCTTCACCAGCCCCTGTGGCTCTTTCCTCCGTGCCCCTCCATGTGATAAGGCTCTGATAAGGCTGTGTCCCCCTTCGTCCCTGTGGACGGATGTTGCTCCCCTAGATTGCCCGAGAGGCAGAGGCTGCCATCTACCACTTACAATTATTTGAGGAGCTGCGCCGCCTGGCCCCTATTACCAGCGACCCCACAGAAGCCGCCGCCGTGGGTGCCGTGGAGGCCTCCTTCAAGTGCTGCAGCGGGGCCATAATCGTGCTCACCAAGTCCGGCAGGTAGGAGGTGGCAGGGCTCCCCAGTGGCGCCAAGCCGAGGTAAGACCTGCTGGCTGCCACCTGGGCACGAAGGACACAGCAGTGCCCGCAGAAGTGTGGATCTGGAGAAGTCCTCAGCCACCAAAAGGCGGGCATCCAGGCACAGATGTCATTCCATATTTAGAAGCTGCTCTTCCCAAAAGGGCAGAACACACTGGGTGTGGTTGCCCCCCGCCTGTCTGTAATCCCAGTGCCTGAAGCAGGACTGTCACAAATGCAAGGCCAGCCTGGACTACACATTGAGAGAGCCTATCACAAAAACAAAAGCGGAAAAGCCAGTGCAATTTGCTTATTCTGGTCACTAAGTGCTCTTTAACAGTCTGGACTGGACAATCAGTGGTGTTTGCTAGTACTCTTGTCAGTCCTACTAAACCACTCTGAAGATGAGGGGTTTGTGGCCGAGGAGTGGGTGTGCCACCTGGCTGCCATTCTGCGGCCACGCGGCCATGTGGCCCCATGATCTCCAGTTGAGGGCCCTTCCTATCCTGGGACATGGCCTTCCATCAGCAGGATATCTGGATCGAGCTCCCTGCCCAGCCCTGCAGAGCACAAAGGCTACTGGGAGATAGTGCAGCGATGAGGGGCTCCCCGAAGCATGTGGCCCGTGCCCACGTGGCTGAGTGGCAGGCGTCAGGGTGACCTTTCCGTGCGGCTCCCCCTCTTGCTCTTTGGCTATTTTGAGCTCTGGTCTTCTGGGATTTCACTCAGCTGGGCCTGACTTCAGCAGCTGCTTCCGAGGGCTGTGTGGAGAAGCCCTGGTCAGACCCTTCATTCTGTGCTGCAGTTGGGTTTCCCTGCCACCTGTTGGGTGTCCTATAAGCCACCCCCAACTGCTGTGACATGTGGCTACAAGTGTGCTGTGTTCCTGCC